TAAAAATATTCTGCAAACATAAAATTGCAAATTAAATTGCACATTAAAACCGGACGCGGATTACAGAAAACAGGATGGTTCGCATGCATTTGTATGCGACGTTGTAAAGCTTCTTCGTTATCAGAATAATAATGATAAATAGTTAATTAAGACAGCCTCATATTTTTTCATGGAATAAAACAGATTTTATGTAAATGTTACCATTTTCGGTACTTGAAGTATAATTATAACGAAATGTAAATCTCTCTGAAATAACAAGAACATCGTGTAATTTCGTAACTCGAAATGACCGGGGGTATTCGCGTAATTATTATCATTTGGCGATGAAATCATGCCGCGTTGAATAGTCTTCATTGACAAGCAGCAGCTGTGTCTATTGATTATTTGAGGGCATTGCACGCTAAAATGCAATCGTAGAGTTCCATATAGAGAGGGATGGGAGGGCGCAAAATTCGTGAAAATAACGATTTTAATCATCGAGACAAGGATTTTACATTATTTTTCGTTTTTCCATGTTTTCGGAAAATACAGACATTTAAAATGAAATAATTCGAATGGAAAGTTTTATCGGTAAATTCGGATGTTCTGGAAAATACGAGAAAAGTTAGATAGGTTTCCGAGCAGTTACGTAGAAAACTATAGTGATAGTAATAAAATAGTCTCGCTTGTGAAATTTTTTATATTTTATTGTAGTTTCATACCGATAAGCCATTAATGATTGGTTTTTATTTCGTTTCACGTAGAAATGTGAACAAGATATATTATTTGGAAATGAGAAAAATAAATGTAAGAAATAGCATATATGTGTCACACATACAGAAATATTTCCTATATTAGATTTTGATTAATACTAGAATAAAAATAATCTTTTTTATAGAGATTTTATTTTCAGTCAGACATGAACAATTTTTTAGATACTTATTGATCTTTTAAAAATAAATTTTCGCGAATTCAAAATTTTTAGATTATTTCTAACAGTGAAAACATAATACTAATTTATATAAATTTAACTTTGAAAAAAATAATATTATTTTTGACGCAAATATACGAGATGTGTTTCCGCATTTTAATAAATTCTATTACAAACTTAATTGTCAGACTGCATACATATAATATTATAAATCATTTCGAGAGAGAGAAAAAATGCATTCAATCTTTATGGGTTAATTCCATTTTGCTGAAGAGATAGTTCGGCTAAAAGCGACAGATTGGACAGATCCCAACTCTTGAGGTGTCGTCACCGAGGTAGCTCCCGCCGGCGTGGCGACACGCCGGCGTACGAGAGCGCGGTTACCGCAGAGGGTTTGTTCCCGGAAGGGAACCGGTGGCACGTCGTTACCGGGGCAAACTACGCCGTCGACAAGCGCCGGTCGGTAAGTGCAGGAGGTCCGGTGCACGTCGGCCGCGTGCTCCCGGTCGGCCGTCCACCCCCGATCGCCGCCGCCGCCGCCACCACCGGATGCTGCGATTCGGGGCACCACCACGGCGGTCTCCCGCCATGGCTCGCGGCACGCAGGCGCGCTTCCGCCCTTTCGCTCGCGGGGGTGTCGATCTCCCCCGCAAGCCCAGCCTTCGCGCTTCGACGCCGAACCAACCCCCGCGCGACCTCGGCGCCCTTCGGGGGCGGAAACCTCGCCCCCGCTGGCCCTCGATCGCGTCCTTTCTGCCCCCTTCCCCAGGGACGTCGTCGTCCGTCTCGCGCGAGCCGGCAGTATCGCTCGGAGCGGGTCGGCAAGATGATCGGCGCCCTTAACAGCGCGCAGTCCACGTATAGTACGCTCGTGAAGACGACGATTATCGACGAGACGAGGGTAATAATACGCGCCGCCGTTCGAGACTGAGACGTTCGTTGCTGAGATATGACCACGTTTCTGGCCACGTCGTCGTCGCGCCTCGTGCCGCAGCAGATAATCCGGAAGTCGACGACGGTGCCGCGATAAGAGCGGCAGCTGGACCGCGTGAAACACCGTCGCACCGGGTGATAGATAGACCGTGGGGAGGGGGGCATCGTGTTCGCGGGCACCGCGCGATGCTGGACCTCAAGAGCAGCGGTACCACCGCGGCGGAGCTACCACGAACCACGGCGTTCACCAATCTATCGATGCTGTTCGCCGGTACGTTCGACGTTCCCCGTTCTGGTTCTGTGCCCGTTTACGCGTATGTGCGCACGAAATTTTTTTAACAGCGTGCCGTATGTGTTTAGGAGTGTGCTGATAAATTTGCGTTCCCACATGCTCTCGATAGCTATCACGCTCGGTAGCACGCGTGTCCACCTGGTATCAATTGCGAATTCGAATCCGGTGTCAGTAGCGTGTGCTTCTGAAAATCTTTTCGTACACTCGAACAATGAAATGAAGGATCTTATGGTCTTATATTTTATATGCTATATAAATCTGATTTTTTTTATATGTAAAATATCGCAAACGTTAAGAGATCCATGTCATTTCATTATGCAAACATATTTTCAGAAGCAGGTGCAAAGATTTGATCTAATTAGACACAAGAAAAACCTGGTAGTATATTACAATTTTATGCGTAGATCAATGATAAACGCGCGTATCTCTCTGTGCGAGTTTATTCTCGATAAATATATCTAACCCTTTATGTAAGAGAAATTAATTTTGAAATATTTTAAGCAAGATTGTTTGCTATTCTGCTAAAAAGAAATTTAAAAATTCAATATATGTTACAACAGCACTTTGAAAAACTTTTACTTTATATTATCTACAAAACTATTACTATTATAAATTTTCAACCATTGTCTATCTAAAGAATTAAATATTTTTGTTAAATCCTCTAGATACAATAATTGGTTACTTTATAATAATCTGAAGGATTAAGCCATTAAATATAACAAAACGTGATATGCGATAGATACTAATAGCTATAAGCCCACTATCGTAAAATGATTATCAGTGATTACGTGATTAATGTGAGTGATAGACAAAAGTAATCATTAATTGTTCTATCGAAAATATATTTTTACAATGGAATCTCATAAGATCGGCATATGTTCATATATATTTCTATTATGCAATTTTCGTGTTGATAATTTGATATTAAGTTTTTATTCTTCCGTTCATTTGCGTCTTTCAAATTTCTTTCGCCTTTAAATCATAGATCAGTTTAAAAAAATGATTCCGTAAACAAAAATATTCATTTTGCGTACCATCTTTTTATTATTCATTAACACTATCAATTAGTCCACGGAAAATATTTCAATTTGTTGTGTAAGCGACATTAAAATCCGTGAAATCGTTTATTATGAATAGTATCGATCCTATTCAGCAATTCGTTGAAATTCTCATACTTGTCAGGATTTTCCGATAAAGCCCGTATCTTTTAACGCCGCGTTTCACGAAAATCCCAAGGAAAATCGGCACGTATTACCGAATGATCGGCGCACCCTCGGCACTCGAGAAACGTGAAATCCGAGGCTCCATTAATGGACTCCGGGGTCTCCAGATCAAATGAAGGGGGCAGTAAAGACGAAAGATCGAGCCGTGGCGAGCGGGCGCATAGGTCGTTTTGTTTGCTCCGGAAAGTCGGAGTTTCTGCCGCGCGGTGTGACGTACCTACGTATGTACACACAAGGGTCGACCCTCGTGCCAATAACTGCCAAATGAAAATATATCTGTTCGCAAACACGCCACTGAAGATACGGCGCGGGAACTCTCGAGAGAACTCTCGCGTGTGTTGCTCGCGGCAAATGTACGTCGTCGCCGTCGCTGCCGCGCGAGAACGGCACATCTCCCGTGCACACGTGTTACAAATAATTCCGTATTTGTCCAACTGACGTCCGTCTTGTTCGGATATTATTCGACTGACCGAATCGGTCGATTGACAATCGTCGACCGAATGTATCCAAAAAAGGGAGAAATTTAGATAGATAGAAAGAAAGATCTTTTCAGGAATTAAAAAATAAAGAGATATTTCGATAAAAAAAGAAGAATGTACAATAAATCATATTCAAACTATTTAACATAAAAAAATATTTTATAATGACAGATGTTATGCAAGTTATTTAATCGAGAAGTGTGTATATTATATATTCATGTTTGTATTAAATTATTTGTTTAGTTGCTATAGAAATAACTCGAAAATATTGATTTAGTTTTATCGCTTATCGATTTATAATTTTATGACCCAGATTTACCTAAAACAGTGTTATATTTAATTATATCAATAAATATACAGAATGTACAGAAAATTATACATATTATTTTAGGCATCTATTTCACAGGCCCCGTTTCTCAACCATATATTTTTTATAGAGGCTGATGTGTAATTTAACTTATTAATATTATTTCATTTCTAATGCTTGCAGTTTATAAATGAACAAAATAAACCCAAATAACAATTTTGATGTCTAGTATTTAACAAGAGAAAATATGTTCACTATTTGTGAGATACTCCTTATGTCTTTTTTGTCTTTATATGACATATTTTATCACAAAATATTGAAACGCGCGATTAAAATTTTAACGCAGTAGTCGAAAACTTTGCAACTTCAAGCGCAAAAAAAGTAGATAGGTCTGTCGCTACAGACCTATAACTATAAACCAGGAATAAATTTCAAAAATGATAAACATATTTGCACAATATATATGTAGACTCTCTCGTGTGCGTTTTGCGTTCATGGAAAAACTGCTGGAACCGTTAAAGTGTCGTAAAGATTTCGTGAAGTAGAAGAACCGCGTTTTTTCTTCGCTATAGCCACCTCGAAACGTTTTCGCTCGTCTGATCAGATATACTTTACGGCTTCTCGCGATTCCTCGAACCGATTAACCGGTAATTGCGGACGATATACGCCCCCGCTACCGACGTGACCTCAAAAAGTGTAATCGCAATTGGTCCGGCCGGATCACGAAGTACCTGCCGGTCGCGTGGATCGATAAACAGTAGATTTCTAACGCGTGTTGCGGCAAATTGAAAATTTTGTATTTTTACTGATTGACAGAGAGAGAAAGATAATTAAGAAATAATTTCTCTTATTTCAGATGCTGGCAGCTCTTACAAGGGAGGCTGGAGTCACGCCACGTCACCGGCACCTGGTCAGGGTAAGTCTCATCTAAAATTTATAGCCTTTGAGGGGGGGGGGGGAGATAAAGCAACTTTGTTCATCTATACAAAAATCCTATTATTATCTTGTGTGGAAAAAAAAACTTGAAGCAGACGATATGATTTAAACTGAAATATGTAGCTTGAGAAAAGAATATGTAATAAAAAATATGATTCTATAATATTTGAAATATAATAGCTCTTTTTTTTTAATTACATATCTTTATATCTTGGTATTATCACAGTTGTATAAAAAGATATCTTGATACTACCAACATAATATTAAGCAGGATGTGTATTTCTCTCTTCCGAATTTTTTATATGGTTGCAATAGATTTCATAGAAAGTTTCATATTTTAGCGAAGCAATCTTTCAACCCTATGTTAAATCATCACCGACTGATAATCAAGAGTTAATCTATCGTTCTTTTTTTCAATTAATTTCCCATCGTCACCTCGAGTACCCAAGATAGTTTTTTAAAATTCCACGACCCGTTTCGCTTGTCATGTATTATGTTCCTCTCGTAAAAACTCCCGCTCTGACCGAGTGGGGGTTTTCTTTCTCCTCGTCCTCGGTTCGCTAGACGCTACATATACGTAAAGGGTGGGTCGAGGCGCCGCTGGGTGCAAATTCACGCGTCGCGACGCTCCGTTCTTGTTCGGGCAAGCTTTGTGCGTGCAAACGCGTGGAAGATGTAAGCGTGTAGGTGTTCGTGTGGATATCTGTGTGGGTATAGGTGGCGTCCCGGTGCTTTGTGGCGCGTTGAACCGCGGCCCCTTTGTCGTCAGCGGAGAGCGAATGAACGAGAGAGAGAGAGAGAGAGAGAGGGTGAGAAGGGATGTGGGTGAGGGTGGCAGAGAGCGAGCCCGGGGGCTGTGTAGAGACGCCTGCCCACACGGTGGTAACGTCGAAGAGCAGACCCCACCCTGTGTGGACGCCAACACCGACGCTAGCACAATCATCTCGCGGAGATCACAGAGCCCTGCCTGCGGGCATCTTTGTTATAAACGGCTCCTGGCCGCGCCAACCAAGTTACAACGACCGTGACGTTGTTCGAGATCACCTCCGCGACGCGAGAGGACGTAAGTCCCGCCTTCAGACGCGTGTGAATGCGTATGAACATCGTGTATCCACCTTGCCCGTATTCGAGATTGTATTCAGAATCCGCGCAGCCTGCCGTGTCACATCTCTTAGCACCAGGCTTTAAACGTAATTTAATGCAACATATATGTACAGCATTGTATGTGACGAGCATACAGCAGATTACAAACAGACCTAACCCGATGACTTTACACACTACAATCTTTTTATTTCTGAAACAATATATTTTAAATTAAGCATATTTTACAAATAATAAGATAATTATCTCGATGGAAGCTATTCTACACGAAGGAAAATTATGACAGACTTGTGTCGTTCATTATGTCTCTATGTTTTTAATTAAATTAGCTACAATTTATCGGAAAACACGTATATCTTTTACTAATACTGTTATAACTGTATAAAACGATGAGATAGAACAAAATTTTGCCTCTTTGATCTTTATTTTGAAGCATACTTTATCTCAAAATTTGATGAAATCATTTGAAAATATTAAAAAAAAAATAAATATTAGAAAATAAATATTTAAATTATTCATGGAGTTGTTTTAGTTGTAATAATAAGATAATTATCTCGATGGAAGCTATTCTACACGAAGGAAAATTATGACAGACTTGTGTCGTTCATTATGTCTCTATGTTTTTAATTAAATTAGCTACAATTTATCGGAAAACACGTATATCTTTTACTAATACTGTTATAACTGTATAAAACGATGAGATAGAACAAAATTTTGCCTCTTTGATCTTTATTTTGAAGCATACTTTATCTCAAAATTTGATGAAATCATTTGAAAATATTTAAAAAAAAATAAATATTAGAAAATAAATATTTAAAATTATTCATGGAGTTGTTTTAGTTGTAATATAGTTAATAAAATTCTGTAAATTAGATTGTTTTTTAGAGAGGACAGATCTTTGTGGAATATCTTTAATTCTTTCCTTGCTCCGTATCCTCTGAAAGTTTAATTTTCAGGTATTTCCCGCGACGACGTACGCATGAATCGTTTTAGCACAGTGTGAGCAAAAGCTCCGGGGCATTTTCGAATAGCGTGCTCCAGCATCGTCCTCTGATCTTGACAGGCGCGGGGTTTGCCTTTGACTCGGTTTGCGCTTTGCGCTGCGACGCGAAAGGGAGCGACATCGTCGTCACCGAGATTCATGAAATTACTTGACATGACACGCGTTGACCCGAGGGCACTTTGCGGTTCTCCAGACCGCATGAAATTGAAATTACAAGCTTGTCTCCTCCCATAGTAACTCAACGACTTAGAACACTCAGGTTGTACCGTGTATATTTTCGATAAATATTAGGTACTTTCTTACTGAAACATGGACTAATTGTAAGATCATCGTTTCATAAAAGTTTCAGTCTATGTTTCAGTTGAACGTACCTAATAGATCCAAAGAATAACTAACAGAAGTTGAGAGAATTCGCGATATCTAAATGTCTATCTATGGTACATGAACGATATCCGTACATATAAAAATGTATTTAATTCACACATATAAATTTTTATTTCATCGATACTTGCTACGATATAAAATTTTTGCCAAAATAAAAAATTCCATTTGGATATACTTGTCTCTCTTCTTATTTAAATAATATAATTCTTTACACACAGAGCTAATTAAAATAACTTTAAATTATTCTAATTCTAATAAATATATTTTATATAATATATGTGCATTATTTTATATAATATATGTGCATTTTTGATTTATGATGCTATCTAAAAAAAAATTTAATTAGAAGTTTTATACGAAAGCGACTATTAATAAGACTACGAGGACTGACAATTAAGTTCGTAGAAAATATTTATTACAATTACAGAACACATTTATTCGTTATCTATAACACGGTCCCTTTTAAAATAGTCCCTTCTTAAAGCAATGCACTTGGTCCAATGTTTTTTCTATTGCAGGAAGCAATCTTCAAAATTATTCTTCGTGAGGCTGTTTAAAACACGCGTCAACTATTCCACCTCCGCTCGTGATCCCCAATGACGATCCTTCATGTCTTTCTTGGTTTTGGAGAATAGAAAAAAAACAGAGGAGGTCAGATCGGGCTCCCTCTGACTTTTTTCTATTCCCCAAAATCAAGAAAGACATGAAGAATCGTCATTGGGGGTCACGAGCGGAGGTGGAATAGTTGATGCGTGTTTTAAACAGCCTCACGAAGAATAATTTTGAAGATTGCTTCCTGCAATAGAAGAAACATTGGACCAAGTGCATTGCTTTAAGAAGGGACTATTTTAAAAGGGACCGTGTATTAGATAACGAATAAATGTGTTCTGTAATTGTAATACATATTTTCTACGAACTTAATTGTTTGTCCTCGTATATATATAAAGTATACTTCACATGAATATCAAAACCGATTAAAACCGATTAAAACGGATTATGTTTTAATCGGTTTTAATCGACCATTTTCGGCAGGGATATGAAGGATCGTCATTGGGGGTCACGAGCGGAGGTAGAATAGTTGACGCGTGTTTTAAACAGCCTCACGGAGAATGATTTTGAAGATTGCTTCCTGCAATAGAAAAAACATTGGACCAAGTGCATTGCTTTAAGAAGGGACTATTTTAAAAGAGACCGTGTATTAGATAATGAATAAATGTGTTTTGTAATTGTAATAAATATTTTCTACGAACTTAATTGTTTGTCCTCGTATATGAGAAAATCAAAGAAATGCAAATTGCTTTCTGAACTATGCGTTCTAATGCAAATTATTTTCTTGTTTATGCTCGCGATGTTTAACATCCGTAATGTCATGCAAGGACAATGATAAACTGACACCTGTGAATTAACACATCAGAGATATATCTGCGGAACCGGGTAATTCGAGTATGCCCATTAATGTTACTCGCGTGCTCGATGGTCCAAAGTTGTTTCATGTTTCAAAGCAGGTCATGCTCATATAACCTTTTCGTACCAAAATGCACACCAAAATGTACTGTCCCACGCGATTTAATCAAAAGTCAAAGTTAAAAAAAACCTTCTCGCGTGAATTGCTCGCTGCTTAATTATCCTTGATAACGCCGTCACAGACCTTATCAATTTAAAATTTTGTAGCATTTGAGCAAATTTCTTGAAAATAACAAATCTAAATAACTCACTATTATTTGATTTATGTTATCTTGGCTATGGAAAGTCTCAAGTATCCGCGTTAGGTCAATTTGATTTTGATGATTTTTCTTCTACACTGACGGAAATGGAAATCCCAACACCAAGACGGAGTTATGCTGGGTGAATGAAAATTACACAGAATGTTTGTTTACGTAAGTATTTACGTATTTATTATTATTTTTTTTATTTTTTTATTTTTTATTATATATATTATTTATTTATTTATTTATATTTTATTATATAATTTATTGATAGCAACGTAAGTACGACAGAAAAGAAAAAGTATCAAAAGCGTTTATTGTGTGATTTGCCGATCGTACCGGTAATAGTGAATGATTTTAGTTGCACATTCGCGCTTACATTTATAGAACGATCGATAAAATTCTCGTCAGAGTTCGAACTATGCAGGACTATTCTCCGAACGATTTTCCTGTTGGGTGTATGAAAATTTTGTGAGAAAGTCTTCATCTCCGCTCGTTTAAACGCGAACATCTATAAGCCTCTTCCGACATGTACTCGTACAATTCGCATATGCCGAGAAACAGGAGATCTTTTCGTGAGTTCTTGTGGGATGCGAATGGCGGGTTGGTCAACATGTGTGTCCCCCCAGATGGCTCATTTGTCAAAACGGTCAAAACGAGAGCGCGTCCAGTTAGCTCATATACAGCTTCATA